ATCCGACATCTTCATTCCTTTAACGTTCATATGTCCAAGTCTATTGTGCCATATACTTGAATTGGACGCACTCTCAGCAATAGCAGCTTTGTTTATACACCCTGTAGTGGTGTATAAAGTTCCAGATTTTGTGCCACGTGCTACCACCATAGCATCCTTCACAATCTTCCACGAACTCTTACCAAACTTTGTTGCATAACCTGTGCTATCCAACTGACCAATAGAGATCAGGTTCTTCTTGAGACTAGGAATATATCTCACATTCTTTAATGTCCACTGATTTCCTGCTGGAGTTTTTATACAGACATCCCATTTTCCTTCGATCTTCAAATCTTTGTTGTTGGCAAGATACACCTTCTCGAAACTTTCAAACTTGAAATTTCAAAACAACTCTTTATTTGGAGATGAATGAAAAGATGCACCTGAATCCAAAATCTTGGATTCAATCGGACTGTCCATGCTAAGGATTAGAGCATCCCTAATGTCTTCTGCTGAATGTATCGAATCATCGTCATTCTCTGATTTGTGATTTTGCTTCCTCTTTGTACAACTGCCCGAAAGTGACCTTTTTCTCCACAACTCCAACACTTTACATTTGGTTTGTTTGGAGATTTTTCTTGGTTTCTTGATTTTGATCGACCATTGTTTGGGCCCTTTGATTTACTTCTTCCCCATTGGTCAACACTGAGAGCACTAACAGATAAATTTCCAATTTCTCGTTTGCGAATACTTTCGCTGAGAGCTACATCTTGAATTTCATCAAACTTCAGTTTACCAAATCCTCGGGAACTGCTAACTGCGGCAACAACAGTATTCCACGCTCAGGTAAAGATGACATCAAAATCAATGCTTTAATTTCATCCTCGAAATTAATTTCCACCTAACTCAGTTGACTTACGATCATATTGAATTCATTTATATGGCCCACAGTAGATCCACCTTCAGACATCTGTAGATTGAAAAATCTCCGCATCAAATACACCTTGTTCATAGCTGACGATTTTTCGTACATATTCGACAGCGCCTTTAACAGATCTGACGTTGTCTTCTCCTTGATGATGTTAAACACCACGTTTCTGGATAGCATCAACCGGATCATCCCTAAGGCTTGTTGATCCTTGAGCTTCCACTGTTTTGTGATCATGGTATCCGGCTTCACCCCCAACAGGGGTTTATGAAGATCTTTCTAGTGCAGATAATCTTCAATCTACATTTTCCAGAAACCGAAATCAGATCCATTGAACTTCTCAATTCCAATCTTTGAACTTTCCATCTTCACAGATCGTGGTGACTTCCACCTCGCTCTGATACCAGTTGTTAGGATCAATACCAATTGTTAGCTCTGATACCAATTGTTAGGATCACTCAACCACGCACACACTCGATCAAAATGAACACAAAGAACAGAAGAGAGAAAATACAAGGAGGAATATTGGCTAAAGATTTTATTATTGATGACTTTAGGTATGTACAAGAAGAACAAGAGAGAATAGAATGAAGAGGAGTACATTTTGAGAGCACTGGTTATATATATATGGTTTCAATTTACTAAATATAACTTTCAAAGATTTAAAATATATCTCTATCAAATATTTATCAAATCTCTCTTATATATATCTCTATCCTATCTTTACGAAATATCTTCCAAATATATCTCTACCAGATCTAGGCATCAGACTCCATATCCCAACACTAGCGAGGTCGACGCTCTGTCAAGATCCAAGAACGTTTCACAAATTTAGGTTCTAAACAACATTTTTCTAATCTGAGCTTTTCCTATGTGAATCGAGTCCTAAAATGTTGATGTATTCACCTAAGAACAACTCTACGCACGATCTATGAAGAAGTTTGGACGAAATCTCGATCCGAAGGCAGAGATCCGAGAATCGTCCGAGAACGATAAGCGAACTTTTGACGCTCTTAACTCGTCTGGTAGTTAAGCAAAAATTACGAAAAAAAATACTAGGACATAGCTCATAACATGATCTAGAACCTTGTCGAAGAAACCATATCGATCCGAACTTCATAACAAAATATATGAAAAAAAAATGGCTCTGGGTTACAAATTGCAGGAGAGAGAGAAGAAAGAGAAGGAAAAAAATTTGGTAGTAACGTGTCGATCAGCGAGCGGTGGAGTGCGGCTAGGTAGGTGCCGAACACGTGTCGATCGTCAACTAGAACAACACAGCTCCAGTTAAACGATGACACGTGTCGCCTGCAAACCTCGAGTCGAACTGCAAACCTGAGCCGAGCTGAGCCAAACCAGACTACCCAACCCAAGAATGCGTAGAAGCACCCGCGCGTAGTAGTCGTGCATGCGGCTTGCGACTGGCGCACTTCCTCGCGCGTGGTTGGTGCATAGCCAGCGTGTGAAGGTGCGTGAGATGTTCGTTTTGGCTCGTTCGCCCTCTATTTGCCTGGTTTTTGTCCCGATCCCAGTTCTAATACTATTTTTATGTGAATAGGGACCTAATTGAAGAAAATCAGTATTTTTGGACACCTCATGGGCATAGAAACACTAGCAAAAGGGTACACGTCAACCATTCAAGCCACCACCCGGTGTTTAGGAAGAAATACTTGTAGGATTCGCTTGGACTGCATGCATGCTAGTTATTCGCCTTATGTAGTAGTCTTGTATGACTGATTGTTATGAGTTGATGATGTGTAATATTATGTGAAGTTTTGGGTGAATTATCTGAGCGAGCGATCATGCTTTAAATTTTCGCTGTACATATGCATGTGTTTAATTCATGTTGGAATTATGTATTCCGTTCCAAGTGCTTAATGGATGACTTTGCCCCATTGAGTGCGAACTTTGCGTTTTAGGTACTTGATAGAGGACATCGCTCCGTTGAGCTTGTGTGCCTAATTTGCATGAATTATATATTATGATGTTATACGACGGTTGCATGCACTCTGTTATTTTTTATGGCCTATTACTATGATAAGCCTAGGAATTTGTGGTTAGGAGCGACAAGTCACTCTAGCTAGACCTAACCTTTCCCTAGGAACTTAGCGGATTACCACGGTGATGTGGTACCTCAGGAGTGTTCATAGATTGCTAGTGTGTGAACAATATCTATAGCTACGGGGGAGGATCAGGGGTTCCTGACTAGTTCTTACTGCTCCTGGTCATTTCGCATGGGAAATGTGTCCCCACGTCGTACGGCCCATTAGCTGCATGAGAATGGGTTGGGTCGCGCCCCCCATATGGGGGACTATATGGACTTAGGAGGTACTCAGTACACCCCTAGGCTAGATACCATGTAGTCTCAGATAGTCATGCAGAGGTAGCGCCTCATAGAGAGATACTAGCCATATCAGCTCGGCGTAAGAAACCTTTTAGGTATCAAATGAAATGGCGATGAACTAGTAAAAAAGCGCAAGGGACTAAGATTAGAACCAGATGTCCTAGAACTGAATGAGGAGACCATGGGAACCTGTTAAGTTAGGATGCGATGAGAGCCTACAAGTAGATGGCTTACTAAGTATAAATTTTTATACTCATCCTTGCAATGTTTTCCTTTTTCAGGAGCGCAAAGCGTCGGTCAAGGGCGGGCTTGATGGAGACAGGGGTTGTCAAAGAGGAATGAGTTGTCCCGAGGTATCAATCCAGTCTTTATTTTATATTTGCATTTTTTCATAATTTGTTTTCAAACTGTTAATTTTTTTTTTTGTTCGTAATGTTAGTGGAAGTAAATGATTTTTCTCTATTGCATATCTAAATTATTTTGTGCATTCATGTGTTGTTGTTAGTCATGGTCCGTTGTAAAATATTGGGTCGTGACACTTGGAGTGCCAAAAAACAACCTACTGTCTCCCGCTCCAGCTATGAATCTGAGTATCATACTCTTGTCACGACTGCTGCTGAACTTCTTTGGGTTATGCATCTTTTGCATGATCTCAAGGTCCCTATTTCATAGCAACCCTTACTCTTATGTGACAAAAAAAGTGCTATTCTTTTAGCTCTAATCCGGTTTCTCACAAGCGGGACAAACATGTTGAACTAGATTATCATTTCATTCGAGAACTTGTTATTGTTGGCAAACTTCGCACACAATATTTACCTTCTCATCTCCAAGTTGTTTACATCTTTACAAAAAGTGTTTCTCAACTTCTTTTTGAGTTTTTTAGATCCAAGCTTCATATTCATTCAAATCCGACACTCAGCTTGGGATGTTAAAGATATTTGACGGTTTATTTAAGACAAATATTTTAAGTTGGGGCTTACCATATTTGCCTTTTTATTTAAGGCAATATAATTATATTCATTTATTATTCTTTTCTTTTATGGTTCTTTTCATATTATTTGTAGTTTACCATAATTCTCTATTTCGTAAATTATTATAAATAGAAAACTTTCTCAACCATTTAGCTGCCGTGGTTTTAGCAAATATTCTCAGATAACATGATTTGTGATATTCAAGCATAGGAATGCGTCTGGAAAGAGAAGGGACATTTGTTGGTCAGCAGGGGGACGTGTCTGGTGAAGGAGGCGAACACATGTCACGCTAAGAAATTTTTGTGGGAGTTACGTCCACTGAAGCATGAACACAAGACGTTGAAGCCATAGCAACCAATCTGTGAGCACCAAATGACATTCCATGACTCGAGTTCGCCTCCTGAGTGTTTGGGTTGTGCTCGTGGGTGACCTATAGTCGTGGTCGAGATGCATGAGGTGTTCGTTTTGTCCTGTTTGGACTCTTGTTTGTCTATTTTTTGCTTCACTTTTGATATCAACCTAATTTTTTATTTGATCAAGTTTTTAAAAAAATCTTTTTTTTTTCAATTCCATGTGGTAATTTAAAATCAAATATAAATTATAAATTTTCGATAGAAATTGGTCCAAAGACGATGAGTTTGAGTATCTATACAGATATAAGATGGGAACAAAGTCATTAAATTTAATACCATAATTAAAATAATATATTAAAAAACTTCCAACCACCCTCTTAATTTATTATTATAAAAATATATGCATTCACATTGTCTCTAATTAGGTTAATTCTGCCCTCGATCTTTTTTTTTTTCAATTCAGGTTGAATTGAATTAAGTTAGATATTCTTTTCTTTCTCTAATTATCTAAGTTGTTCATCTTCTATCCTTTTCTCTCTTCATTTCGTGGTTCTTGTCCTTACAGGTGAGGTCTGAGGGTTTGCTTTAGTGTAGGACTTCAGGTATGGTCGTGGGTTCGTTGGAGGCGTGGGATCTCGCTGGAAAAACTACGAACTCTCCCTCAGTTTTTTTCAACTATTTTCTTCCTCCATGTTGGTGTTCGAGACATTGGCTGAAGGCTGGAGGAGGAAGGGAATGTCTAGGGACGATCCACCGAGATCGTAGTTGTGAGATCCGAAAATTCCGACGACATAAAAAATAGAAAATCGTAAACTCTTAATCTATAAGTCACCAACTACATCTACATAAGAGTTGAGGGAGACAATTTTTCAGTTTCGATGTTTTTTTATATAAAATTCATGGGTTGTTGTATTCCGTGGAAGCAACAAATCAGTCAGAGGGGCCCATTGGATTAATATGTGGAAGGAACAATCCTGTCCAACCAAGAAGGACACAACAAAAGCAAAATTAATTGATAAACAAATCAATGGACGAACAAATTACAAACATGAGAAGCTTCAAATTCAGTACCAATATGTTATACAAAAGTTTAATCCATTGTTTGATGAATTACCCTTCGATTGAAGCACTTTCAGAGGCTATGTCCATTGGATAGCAACCCAGCACCCTGAAGAACGAACTGTATTCCTGCAACTCCGCCATGGCTTCTTCAGTTCTCACTTCCGCCATTGACGCCTCAAACTCCGCAAAGAACACATACTCAAACCGCTTCACCGTCTCCACTAGCCGGATTGGACAGCTCTTGTGCGGCCTCGACTCGATCTTCGACAAGTTAATCTTCCTCGCCGCGAAAGCCGACAGAGCCTTGAACAGAGCCGAGGTTCCATTCTCCAGAGCGAAGACTACGCTTGTCTTAAGTGGCCGATCCGCTCGCGGATCTACCGGATCTCGCGACAGGACCACAAATCGCGTGAAATTTCTCGAATCATCTTGAATTCCGTTAGCGAGGATTTCGAGTTTGTAGATCTTGGCAGCGCGTGCGCTCGCAATTGCTGCCGTATCCTGCAAATTGTACAGAGAAATCTGCTCTGCCGCACCAGCAGTGTCGTCGAAGGCTTCACATGCAGCGTTGAGGCCTAGTTTTGTCAGAGTTTGTTCGCATTGCGCTAGGGCTTGAGGATGAGAGATGACTCTCCGTACGGATTCTAATCGAACTCCTGGTAATGCCATGAGGCAATGATGAACAGGCAATAGAACCTCGCCGATTATGTGGAGGTTATGACGAAGAAGGAGGTCGTAATTCCGATGAATCGAACCGCCGAGGGAGTTCTCGATTGGGAGAATCGCTAGATCGGCAATGCGATTCTCCACAGATTCAAATGCCGTTTCGAACTGATCGCAGGGTATGGTATCGAAATTAGGGCACGCTTTGGCGGCAGCGGCTTCGGAGTAGGCGCCGGCAACGCCTTGGTAAGCGACGTATGGCTTTTGAGCGTCCTTTGGAGCAGGAGACATGATTGCGGCGGCGGCAACGGCGAGGGAAGGCGGAGCGGTGGATTTCTTACTCCTGGTGGAATGTTGAAAGTAAAGGGGTTATAAATAGGAAGGTGGAAATTCAAAACAAAGTCACCAACCCCAAATGTGGAATCCACGTTGTTTCAAAATTAGATTTGAAGAATTGTTAATGAATCCGTGTTACAATATTAATTATATACTAAGATGGTGGGATCAGAGTAATTACCTGTCCCGTGTTCATGGATTAGATTGAGTTGAAACGTTTTTTAATCTAATCAACTATAAACTATAAACGGTCAATTTTTGTAGGTTAGGTTGGTTCGGGTCAATTTAGATTAACCGTATCATTTATATAAATTTTTGTTTTTAGTATATTAATTCGCAAAATTTTTTGTTTATATTTCAAACCTTACAATATATATTTTAAAAAATCATTTTGAGTTAAAAATTATTTTTAAGAATAATTAAATAAACTAACCTAATTTATATTAATTTTCATTTGTTAAATAAGTTCGTAATCCTATCTAAACTACGAGAAAATAAATTTCAATTTGTTTTTTTTATTTATTAAAGAAATCGTATGGAAAAATATTATGAAATTTCACGTTGGTCGATTTTCCGATGCTAAGGTTTTCAAACTTTTAAACATTCGCTTCAATGTTCAAACAAAGGAAACTGATATTTTCCTACCAACCCAATGGAAAGATTCAAAAACTATTATAAAGGTTGATTTTGAAACATTCATTTTCATACCAACCTAAATATAAATATGTTCGAAGTTAAATGATAATTTTTCTTCTGTGATATGATATTGTCCACTTTGGGTATAACCTTTTATGGTTTTACTTTGTACTTTCTCAAAAATCCTTGTGCCAATGTAAACCCATGATCATTCCCTAAATTAATATTTCAATTAATAAATATGAGATTTTCATCCAACTCTTTTAACCTAAACGGTATGTAATTTTATTAGTTTGAAATTTGGGAAGGATTAGTAGGTGCAAAAAGTTCATATTGTGGGGACAACCATTTTGAAGGTTTTTATTATTATTATTAGATTAAAATTTAATAAATATTTTATTTTGTCGGAATCCGTTTGTGGGTGGAGTCAACCCATGACCTGAAGTCTAGCACCTTAAGACTCGAACACCAACACGTCCACGAAGACAGTGGCAGCCTAGGCCTGAAGATCATCCAATGCAAATGTCTATCTTCTACCATGTCCACAAATACACTTGATAAGATAAGAAATCACTACAAGAGGAGTAAGATTCGGATTAACTTGTTGATCGAATATCTCAAGGCAAGAACATTGTTTGAGATTCGAATCACTCCACAAGCAAGATCGATCATGTCGAGCTTGAATGATTCTTGTTGAACAAATATCTCAACCCAAGACCACTTGTTTGAGATTTAAATCACTCCACAAGCAAGATTGATCATGTCAAGCTTTGATTCTACATGCAACCTAGACTACATAGAATTTCAAAAAAACTTAGTCATTCGCTAAATAAGTGCACAAATGTTTTTTTTTTTTTACTACATTTGTCAAGTCTCTTACAAATACAAGCTTTATATAGCCTCAAAATAAAACTATTTAAGGCATTGCAAGAGGGGTAACATTCATACTTAATGGTCATAATTAAACATGATGTAATTGTAACTAAAGTAAATAAAAAGTCTTAAAATACATTAATGAAATACAATACCTCTAAATTATTCTAAATTTTAATCTATCCAAAATTTATAACATGAAACTTCATTTTCTTTAATGTGGCATGAATTGAAATATCTTATGATAATTTCAACAATATTTTCATTAAGTATACGGTTTTTAATGTGACGTGAATTGAAATATCTTATGATAATTTCAACAATATTTTCTTTACATCTTCATTAAGTGTACGGTATGATTGATGTCTTTGAGTTCATATCAACACCTCTCCTTCTTGCCTCACTAGTTGCCCACGACCATATGGAATAAATGGCCCAACAAACCAACCTAGCAGCTATTGGTGCAAGCTAGCTCTCTTGAATCCATTGGCTTGCGTGTGACTCGCCAGCTTGTGTGGAATTGTGTGGCTTTCGTCGGTCTGCTTTGGTTCAACTCGATTTAAGTTTTTAACTCAAGTTCGACAAATTTTAGCTGATTCGTGATATTAAAGTTATGAATGAGTTCTATGATAATATTCTTGCATGCATCAAATATTTTAGGTGACACTGAACCCCGTTAAGATTGAGCTTAGAAGGCAATCAACTAATGGAAATGTAAGAGCACCAAAGTTGAGTTTGAACTGTAAGTGGACTCATTATTGGAGCGCCTACGGGTTGGTTGGATGAAATTGTTGTGTTGTATATTAATACGTATGATGTGGCTGCTTATTACGTGTTATATGATAATGATATGACTATATATGTTTTATTTGATACATCGAACTTCACTATTTTATTTGAAACAATGATTCAGAAGTTTTAGCAAAATGAGCTTGTGATTTCTTTTCTCTATTCTTCTTCGGACATTCATACAAAAAATGACCAAGGTCATGACAATAAAAAAACTCAATAAGAGTTTTGTTAAAATCTGTCTCCCATGTCCTTGTCTCTACCTTGGAATGTGCCATCTCCACGATTTGTTTTTTGTGTACTACTGTCAAGAGTGATCTTCAATGCCTGCTCTTCCACGGTATGTCTTTGCTTACATTGTCAATGAACCAATAGACTACTTGCAATTGATCATCAATGGTCATGATGTCCAAATTGTTGGATTCTTCAATGGAGCAAGCCACGTAAGGATTTTCTCAATAATGCTAACATCACTCATCTTTTCACAATGGAAATGCATTTTATTAGCAATGGTGAGAGTACGAGAAAAGAAATCAGAAACAATCTCACCTTCCTTCCTATGAAGGGTCTCGAAGTCCTTGTGCAGAGCTTGAAGTTGGGCTCTTTTTACCTTTATACTTTCTTGGAATGTTTTCTTCACTAAATCCCAAATTCCTTTGCTCGATCAATGGCCTGGAAAAGATAGTTTTTAGCTCTTAAATCTTTCAATTTCTGATCTGCTACCTCTTTCTTCTGTTCATCTGAGTAAGCAGCCTCATCGGCTAGTTCATGCGTCAGGTCCGTGAAAGACGGGAAAAGATGAAGAGTGGCAATAAAAAATCAACAGGGAAAAGAAGTGGTGAGGAAAGGAGGGAGGTGGTGAGGAAAACATATCTGCCGATCCTCTTCAAATGCATGAAATTTCAATATCAAAAGGGAAAAGAAGTTGTACCACATAATGGTGGTGGATCTTGCGAGGGTCAATCCGATTCCCCTGCACGCGTCGTCGACTCGTGGAGAAATCGTGGCGGGTCTCTGCTACATATTACAAAGCAACAGGGTCGGTGGGGCTTATGCTAGCAAGCCCCGATCTTGAACACTTAACCCTGTCTGTCCCCAATATGGATGCCAAATTCAAAGAGCAACAAATTCCAAGGATGATGAAGAGGAATATGAACAACGCCCCTGCCCCCTACACAATTGGAAGCCTAAACTCTACTTAATTTTTATTTGTTACTGTCCACCTCAACAAATCAGCTGGTTTGCCCGAGTGGTTAAGAGGGAAGACTTAAGATCTTCTGCACTCAAGTGCGTGCGCCATGGTTTAGGTAAATATCTAAAAAGATTGGATGGGAAAAGTTTGCCCAACAATTGATGAGACATCAAAGAGATGATGTGTTTGAGTTCATACATTTCATATCTTACAATGTGTTGATGTGTTCACTGTATCACAGAGGGAAAAGGAAGGAAAACGCCCTCAATAACCAAATACCAAGCACCTTCCTTTCTTTCTCCTCCAAACAACCCCTACGTTAACCCGAAGTTGACGCTTAAAACAGTGAGAAGCTTTTCTTGTGTCTAGAATGACGTCGCAGCTCGACTGAAGCTCGTGGACTCGCGCTGATGCTTTCGACGATATCCGACCGAGCATCCGATGCACGTGGGAGAAGCTTGCACCCAATTCTTTGGCCAATCGTGCGAGAAGCGCTGTTGGAGTTATGTGATTTCGTAACCTTTTTCATCTCTTCCTTGATTCTACTGAACTCTTGCTCCAGTTCTCCAACTCTACACCTCATGTTTTCCAGATCCACCTTCAAAACCTGATTCTCCCGCACGATTGTCACCCATCCGTCCCTCTGTACAATCTGCCCCGTCGTATCGACCGGAGCTGCTGCAACGGGACCGGCCAAAGCACTCTCTGTGTCCAGGACATGAAGACAGCCAGCTAAAGCTGTTCTCAACTGCATCTGCTCAAAGAACAGCACTTGAAGAACAACTCTAAGTGGCAACCTTTCGTTTTGGGATGCATGAGCACACGCATCAATCGATAGTTTCTGGTAATCGATTACATTGCAAAGTTCTTCCCGTTCGCTTGCCGAGAGATGAGGGTGAGCCTGCACAATCGCAATATGCTTGTAATTCAAACATCGGTACAAAGTAAAATTATCACAAACTCAGAAGCCAACACTCCAACAAACTCAACCTTAAAATATATGTCGAGTGCTCGATATAGCCCATCATGTAAAGATCTTGACGAATCCGGGATCGCCTCAGCAAGGGATCTAATTTTTCGAGGTTTCACATTCACATCGGACGCAACTTCAGCCAGATAGCTATCTATCAATCTTGCTACCCTTTTCAATGGTCCAGATCCTGGTGATGCTTCGAGATCAAGCGACACCGGAGAGAACGCTGTCACCGTAGACTGCAAAGATGTAAAATGACGGATGATTCTCTCAACGCAGTCGGTATCATACAACGTATCGGAATCTGAATACGAGGGAATCAGAAGACCATCCAGAGTTGCTAGCTCAAGCTGTATTCCTATTCTTTTCTCCAAAGAGTCCAAGCACGGTTTATCGACACCCAATATCAAGGCAACTCGAAGAAGCCCGAGCAAGAAGCGACAAAACGACTTCCCCTTCTTTAAGGGAAGAAGTTTCTCAATAGTTTCTAAGAGAATTCTTTGATCAACAGAAGCAGGACTCAAACTAAAACTTATAACTTTTATTGGTTTCCCAGCTTGTCTACCATGCCAGCGGCTCAGACCTGGCAAGTACTTTCTAGCATAGTAAATTATAGCCCCTACCAAGCTTTCAGGTCTTAAACCTCTTGCTTGCATTGCCTTGATAAGTTTCTCAAAAAGATTCA